ACCTTATAAGGGAGCTAGTACAAGACACTGTGGCACGGATTAAATCAGAGGCCACTCTCAGTCGTCTACCTCATTAGAACTAGGCTTCAGATCTGCCTGAACTTTCAGCCTCATATTGGTAAAGAAAAGAGAACAGAAAAATAAGAATATAAAACATGAAATCTGAATTAATTAGATTTCTGTAGAACTAATATGTGGCAATTTTATTCTCTATGAAAAAAATAAATGATGTTTAAAGTAGAATTTTAAGTATGTTTAATTTAATTCAACACTTATCAAATGCCTGCTACTTTCAAGAAAGTTTACACCATGGAAGATTACTTATGAGAAGGACAGTTTTGTTGTCACCAATATCTGACAGGCTAAAATAGGGATAAGGGTATTTTGGCAACTGATTAAAAAAATCCATACACCGGTGCAGCTGGAGCATTAATAGTAAAAAAAATGGGTTAGTGGGAAATGGAGCTATAGAATGCTTTGTGCTAGAGGACTTCAGTAAAATTAAATTGAACTTTTGCACTGCCTACCCACCCATTATAAGAACATTAAATGAGATACATAAGAGGTTATTTTCACTTTTAAAATTTAATGATTGAAAATAATAGGTAATTCTATGACGACTTCTTGAAAGTTAGCATAGTAAAGAGCACATTTTATAAAGGAGAAAGTCAGGATATTTATTGAACGTTTTAAACCACATATGACACTCCATATCTAAGGGTAAAAGCTACAGGATTGTTCTATTTTGCTGAAGTTTAAAAATCACTTGTAGTTTCCGTAATATCAATCTATACAAGACTCTGTCAGGTCGAAAGGGAGAGGCAATTACTTGTTTTATACTCATAAGCTACAGCTCAGCCAGCTGTCACTCTATCAACATACTGATGTGAAAAGAGACATTGGGAAGACAGCTGCAAAGATATAGAACACACACAAGACACTGTGGGCTACTAGGATGGGACAGGGAACTATGGAAAGAAATTACTGAATTATATTGGCTTCAGAGGCAATTCATTCAACTAGGTAATATACTCAAATAATGAAAGAAAAAAAAAAAGGATAAGTAAAAATTTAACTTCAGATTGTTTGAGGTTGTTATTAGCACAGGTGAATTCTCTTTGTTTTGGTAACCCTGAGAAGTTCTTCTTCAAATAAACAAGTCATATTACACCATAAACATCAGAACCCTGTCCTTGACATTTAGTCTATTGCCAGATTCAGGGGTAAGCATGTGTTTACCATCCACATGCTGGGAGAACCCTTTGGCATTTGTGACCTCTGATACAATCTCTATGTGCTGAGGGTGAAGGTGGGTTTGGTCAGGTCTTTAGTTTTCTTAACTGACACTGAGTTCATTGTTTTCTGGTCCAAATGACAGTAATTTTAATCACAGTCATAGCATTGAAAATCCCAGTTGGTTTATGTTTCTAGCTGTGCCAGGGGCAGGACCTGCACATAATATGACTAAATCGACAAAATATAAGGAAGGCAGGAAATAGATCAAATGTGAATTACCAAGCATCGTTTGGTTATGGATAGAAAAATGCTGGTATTTTCTCCATTGGTTTTAACATCTATCTTTAAATTTCACTTTTTAAGAATCTTTATGATACATATTTTTACTTAGATCGTATCTGCTAAATAATCTATAGTGGAAACCTAGGTTTGAAGCAAATAAGATAGATATATTTATATAAATAAAAGAGAACAATGACTTCTATTTCCAGCAAAATGGCATACTAGATATCCAGAAAATCCTCCAGCTAAACACAAATCCAAACGAAAAGCCACCAAGAAATACTGGATAAAATGAAATAACATTATTTTAAATGAATATCTGAACTCACAATAAAATTAGGGAAATGCCCAGGGAATAAAATGAAGCAAGAGAGCAGAAATCCACAGCAATAAGTTGTTTTAGGAATTTTCTTAATAAGGAAGTGGCTTGTATTTCAAAGGTCATAAGATTACAAGAGACCTTGAACTCATACAAAGTGAGAATTTATATTTGAAACAGTTTTTAAAATTTCTTTGTTAACCTACAAGTTTGTTGGTAGAATATATTTTATTGTCCAAATATGGGTGGGCATATTTTTTCTTATAACTTCTAATGTAATTGAAGTGATATTTGAGATCATGGTTTGTATGACAGCCAGTCTTTGAAATTTGTTGAGGCTTTCTTGTGGTATGGCCTAGTTCAACATTTTACATTCCATGTGTACTTGAGAAAATGTGGATTTTCTAATTGTTGGAAAACTATCATCTATTATCTATTATCTATCTGTCTGTCTAATTATATATATATATGTGTGTGTGTGTGTGTGTGTGTGTGTGTGTGTATTTTATATATATATAAAATCTGTCATCTTCAATTGACCTAACTACACATATACACACATGGTTTTAGTCATGGGATACCACCCTCTGCATCGTCGGTTTTCCTAAAGCCTGAACACACCTATATTAATAGTCTATTTATTAACTTATTTTCAAATCACTCATTTTTAGCATGCCATCAATGTCTTGCAGGGTGCTGAAAGAATTAAAAAAAAAAACTGTTAAACAGTAAGTGCCGCAATCCACAGATGTTTACCCAAAAATCTAGAATGACAGAAAACTCTGTTAAGGAAGTCTTTTCTGACTTCAGCCAGTGTTAATGAGACTGCCAAAATTTCTATAATCATGAACTTTGCAGAGCTGAAGTAGTCAAATTCTCCATTGTGGCCAATTTCTAAAATTAAAATAAGTGGGCTGACCAGCTAAACATGTGCTATATTGGTTTAAATGGGGTTATCTTGGAGGAGCCAGAGGAATTGGAGAACCCAGAAACTCAGGGCCTCTCCAATGCACCTCCTGCACTACCTCTACTAAATGAAAATAAGTGATACTGGGTATGCTGAAATGCAGCATGGAAGCCAACTTTACATTCTAAGGAAGATTAGAGATGTCTCCCAACCCAACACCCTAGCCTAATGGTTTTCTTATCCAAGAGAAAAAGCTTTGTGTCCAGGAGAAAAAAAGAAACCCCAAGGGGTTAGCATATCCCTGATTTTCCATTTGCTCACTCAGGGATTCAAATGGCATGACCCAATGGGGCTTTAGGCATTAGTTGCTATCAGATAGAATTCTCCAGAATGAATTGTCAGGCAGTCAATTTAAATTTTACTTGATCTATAATTCCAGAAAGAAAGCAAATCTGGTAGTTACTTGTGGTTGTTCAGCTTCTCAATCAATTCTAAATCCCCAAGGCCAGCACCAAGAAGTAATGGCCATCTCAGCAGAAATAACAACCCTGCCCCAGCCATGGAGAAACCGTTACAAATTTGTCAGTGGAATTGAGGGACACTTTAAAGGAAAATCATCTGAATAGGCAGAAGCAGAAGTGGCCAGAATGGCCATATAAGGCATCATTGTTCTTCCAGGAGATGCTCATCAGAGTCACTCATCCAATCACTGAACTTTCCCTCCCTGTCTGGCATAATACAGTCACTCTTTAGAACAGGAAATTATGAATGTTGTGTCTTTCCATGCTCTTAAAAAAAAACTTTCCATAAGTATTTACTGATGATTATGACAAAAGCACTTGTACATGAATTTACTACTGAATATATGCATAGGATTATGGTTTTATTTTAAAGCACTTTCAGAATTTTCTTCACATGAAAATTTCAGACATAAAAAAAAAAAAAAACTATGAAAAGTATAATATAATGAACACCGGTGTTCTCATGACCAAGGTAAAGAACGAAGCATTACAACAACAACAAAAAAAGTCAAACTCATAATATAACAGGTAGTAGAATGGTGGTTAGCAGAGTCTCTGGTCCAGCGAAAGAAGAGACATTGATCAAATGGTACAAACTTTCAGGTATAAGGTGAATAAGTTGTGGAAACCAAATTTACAGCATGGTAACTGTAGTTAGTCATAATGTATTTTTTTATTATTTATTATTATTTATGACTACAGCACCTAGTCTTCCTAGGTGGTCTCCCATCTAAGTACTAATCAGGCCCGACCCTGCTTAGCTTCTGAGATCAGACGAGATCGGGCACGTTCAGGGTGGCATAGACCATGGACCGTGGCTCCACTGGGGCGTGAACCTAGGACCTTTTGTGTGTAAAGCAGACGTGCTAACCACTACACTATGGAACCACGTCCATAATGTAATTTTTTTTTACTTGAAATTTGCTGAGAGCAGATCTCGTGTTCTTAACATACACTCACAAAAGTAGTAATAATGGGTTAATTAGATTGTATTAATGATTTCAAAATGTATAACATATATCAAAATAGCAAATTGTATACCCCAAATAGATGTAACTTTTATTTGTCAAAAATAAATTAGAATAAAGAATAAACCTCCTTGAAATTACACTCCTTGCCTCTTTCACCCTGCTACTTTCTCAGTGCTGTCCATTGTCCTGAATTTGATATTTATCACTCACATACATGTCTTAATTAGTTTACTAATATGTAAGGTTCCTAAAAAATACATATACATATACACTTACATAACACGTAAGATGTAACCTCATGCAATTTGTTTTTCACTATACAACATGTTTTTAAGATGTATACATGTTGATACTGCTCTAATTCATTTACTTCCACTGATAAAAATGTTCTATTATATGAATATAACTCCTATATTATTATAATTATTTGCTTTCTCATTAGACTATAAGACTCACGAGAGTATGGTGTGTCTCATTTATATTCCTCACTAAATCCCATATTCCTAGTACAGGTCCCAGTAAATACTAGGCACTCCATAAACATTTGTTAACGGAAAGATTGCTTTTGTAAATGTTGACTCTGCTCCTTTAGCTCATCTTCCCTAGAGGCGTAGCTATGAGTAGCTATGTGACTGAGTTCTAGCCAATGGAATGTGAGCCAAAATGAGTTGTGCCACTTTAAGGCTTGCATTGTAAGAACAGAAAACAAAACGAACCAAGAACACCCACTTTATCCATTCCTCTCTGTTCTTTTGCTCTTCTAGGTGGATAGAATGGAGATGACAACTAGGGAAACCCTGAAAGCCAGAAACTCAATATGGCAGAACCTCCATTAGCCAGAGATTCCAAAAGACTCTGTGGAGGAAGGCAGCCCCCTGAGCTCTTCACCTGTCCTCTACTTTTATGTGAGTAAGAGATACACTTGGGTTGTGTTTGAGCCATTATACATGCAGATCATGTTAGCCATCAGCCTATTCTAAGTAAAAATTTCTGTATAATTCACCTCTGAGCTATGATTGAGCTGCATCTTAGAGTTTCTTATATATAACATTTTCATTATTGCTGTTTTCTAAGATTGTAACATTTTAGTTGTGATATTCTCTCTGAATCAAGTTGTTTAGTAGAAGACTTAAAAGTTTCACTGCATTTAAATTTTCCAGAGGGGGTAAATATATGCTTTTTTAGTTTTGTAATCAATAAGTATTATCATTCAGATGTAACGATCAGAAAATGTTGTCTGCCCTGCTTCTAACGATTTGGAATATATTAATTTTTCTTTATGGTCAGTGTCATGAATGTTTTATGTGTATTAAAATAGGATGTAGGGTTTCCGTTTTTAGGTTATAATGTTCAACATACATCAGTTAGCTCTGCTTTACATTATGTAATTCAGTCTTTTATCCTTCTTATGGAAGATAGTTTTTTCCAAAGATGACCACAACAATAACTCCCATTCCCCATGCTTTTCTGCAATGAGACTTGCCCCTCTCCCATCAAAAGTAGGAGCCTGCTTATTCACTCCCTTGAATCTTGACAAATCCCTTGACTGTTTCGACCAACAAAATAATGCAGAAGTGGCACTGTGCCATTTCCAGGCATGTCACATACTGTGGCTGGCAGCTTCTACCTCCTGCTTCTTGGAAGCCAGACAGCAGTAGGGAGTGTGACTAACCTGAGAATGATGCGCTGTGATGAAACCCTAGACCACATGGAGAGACTGACAGCTCCCAGCTTTTCCAACGACCCCAACCCAGGAACCAGACATTCGAGTGAAGAAGCCTACAGTTGATCCCACTCATGGCATTTGATGGCACCCTGGTGAGAACCACTCACCTGAGCTCACTCAACACTAAGAACTGTCAGAAATAGTAAGTTATTTTTTCACCTCTAAGTAATGAGGTATTTTGTCATGCAGCAAAAGATACGTATTTTTGTTTGTTTACACGATATTTCAAGGACAAAAGAAGTAAATTAAAGGATATCTCTATGATCTTTCTATTTATTGCATGCCCTGCTTTAAATAGTCACTCCATAGAAGTGCCAAGGACCTTTTCACTCCAAATTTGGTACAAATGTCAAGACTGATGATACCACACATGTACCAAAAGCATTTGAAATGATTTATCATTCATATAATAAGGCTTTCTAGAGAGAGCTGGTGGCTCCCAAGAAGATATGCAAATAGGGCAGGAAAAGGAGACTAGCTTGAGGTTTTTATCATGGATAGGGGGTGAGTTCAAGTGGGAGTTCTCCCTTGTGTGGGCCAGGGCTTGCATGGTTGGAATTTCCCACTAGCAGCAAAAGACAAAAAGACTTGTCACTTTGCAAAAGGCAAAGGAAGAGTAGTGGGACTTGAACACCACCAGCGGTTAAACAACAACAATGGAGTCAGACTCTTTATTATACCTGTGATATTACACTATACATTTTAATGCTAGTTATCTGGAATATAAAGTTTATAACCTAAAATGTACATCGTTAATAGTTCATTTCCTCATTATGAAGTACCTTTCATTGTGTTAACTTTTTTTTCTGATATCGATATCATAACCTATTTTTTATTTTTATTTGTATTCAGTCAAAATTTATATAGAATGAAATGCACAGATCTTAAGTATAGACGTGATGTTATTTTAATAAATATATGTCCATATAACCACTACTACATAGAGCATTTCTATTACCTCAGAATATTTCCTTTTACCCCTTCCAGTCATGTCAATCACTGTTCTCATTTTGCTGCCCACGGATTACTTTTAACTGTTCTTAAATAGCATATAAATGGAATCTTACAATCTGTACCCTTTTATGTCTGTATTCTTTCTCACAGCATGATTTTTTAAACATTTTGTTAAGAAGTATTTCAAACGTATTAAAAAGTTGCAAGAGTTTGAATGTAAAAACCTCAGCTTGTCTACCATTAACCTTTTACTATACTGGCTTTCCCACATGTCTATTTATCACTATATCTTAGATTTTGATACATAATCAAAATCAATTGCATACATTACCATAATATTTCCTAAACACTTCAGCATGCATATCTTAATAGTTTAAAATGTCTTCATAGTTTTTTTTCTTGAGTGGTAAATTTTACATATAATAAAATGCATACATATTAGGAATACTATTTGTTGAATTTTAATGACTACATACATCTGTGTAGCCTATGCTTTCAAGGTACAGAATATTAGCATCATTCCACAAAGCTTTCTCATGCCTGTTTTTAGTTAAGCCTCATATTACTTTAAATTTCTGAATACTCCTTTAGCTATATTCAACAAAATTTTGATAAACTTTGTTTTAGAATAGCTTTAGATTTTACAGAATCATACAGCAAATTTTTGATAGGTTATATTTTATTATCATTTATTTAAAAATATTTTCTAGTTTACTTTTGATTATGAAAGGCTTTGTGTGCTATGCTTCGTGGATACAGATATTTTTTTCTTCTACTTCAGTATTTTACAAACTGATGGTTCACATCCCATTAGCAGATCATAAAATTAGTGGCCTGAAATAAGCCACTATTTAAAAGAATAAATAATATGTACTAAATAGCAGAATGCAAACATTTAAGAAAGTTAACTGTTGTTTTGTTACATTTTTGTTTTGTGTGTGTGTGTGTGTGTGTGTAGGTTCATGTGTGTACATGCGTGTGTGCATACACTGGCTTTTGATAAACAAAGTATGTCTTCCTATGAAGTTGCAGTGAAAAAGACTGAAAAATCCTGCTATAGAAAATCAGATTTCGTGTAGGAGAATGACATGATTACATTTACATTTTAGAAATACAACTCTGGCAGCAGTATGTTGGATTGATTATAAGTGGGCAAAAGTACATGCGAGGAGAACAGTTAGAAACTTATTACAATAGTCCAGACAACAGATGGTTAGAGCCCAACTAAAGCATTAGCTTAAGGTTTAGACAGAAAAGGAGAGATGTACCAGATAAAGGGACTTAGTAATTGATTGAAATTGGAGTTTAGTTAAAAGTCTAGGATGACTCACATATTCCTTGGATGGTTGCATAATGCCATTATTCAGATTAGAAAATAACAAAAAAGGAGCACATTTGCAAGGAAAAACATATGTATTAGGTTTTAGCTATACTTGGTGCAAAATTTCTGTCTTTGTTAGTTTTGGCCGCTATAACCAAAATATCATAGACTAGGTGGCTTATAAACAAGAGAAGTTTATTTATCACAGTTTTGGAGGCTGGAAAATTCAAAATAAAGGTCACAGCAGATTTGGTGTCTAGTAAGGGCCAACTTCCTGGTTCATAGATGGCCCTCTTCTTGCTGTGTTCTCACATGGTAGAAGTGATGAGGAAGCTCTCTGGGGTCACTTTTATAAGGGCACTAATTCCATTCATGAGGGCCCCACCCTCATGACCTCATCAACTCCCAAAGGCCCCACCTCCAAATACCATCACATTGGGATTTGGTTTCAACACATGAACTTTTGGGAACACAAACATTCAGTTTATGGCAGTTACTAAAAGATATCCATTTAGGGATAGATACATAGACATTTGCCTATATAATGCTAAGAGAGATATCTAGGCCAGAAATAGAGATTTGCAAGTGATCAAGCCATAATTTATTAAACCTTATGAGTAGCTGTCATTATCCAAAGAGTGAATATTATAAGAGTAGAGATCCTAGGATAGAACACCTTGGAATATCACTATTTAAGATGTATTAAATAGAAGAGAGATCAAAATAAAGGACTCAGATTGAACTATGATAAAAGCAAAGGAGTGAGTTCCGGAAGCTAAGAATATTTCACATAAGAGAAGAGTTGCTGAAGTGCCAAATGCTACAAAGAAATCAAATAAAAAAGAATTGAATTTAGCAACTAGGAATCAGTGACTTTGGCAAAAGCAGTTTCATTCAATTTTGACAAAATCATGATGTTGAAAGCTCTGGTATTCTGGCAAATGTTTAACCAGCTCTCTAAAAAACAGTGTGGTGTACATACATAGATATATTTTTAATAAATTTTAATGATATTAAGGATTGTGCAGCATGCAATTTAGAAATACTAATGAAATATACAATACTCTTTCTTGTACCTTATTGTCAATTCTGTATAGTCAAATTATTCTCACAGAGTGCATTTGTTGATTTTTGCCAAACTTCTGTATTCAGGTAACAATTGATGGATTAATGTAGTTCTAACGTGAGTAAAATTTTTGCTAAATTGAATGATAGATTTTGAATGTTGGAAGAATAGTCCCTCATTTATTTCTGCTATTCACAACATAATGGCTACAGGCATGGAACACTTTTATGTTAAATCTTCATTAACACTTTATCACTTTACTAAATCTAGAAAAGCACCAGAACAATACACCAAGCTCAGGTTTGTAGCATTTGCTGATTTCCATGGTGTAAATACCCCCCTATGTCTGATTTCAAGCTACCTACATGACATCACTGATTAGGGAGCCTGAAAGAGATACACAGCAGTGCCCCATTGTATATTATTTCCATCGTACAGATATAATAACCTCAAGAACACAGATAATATTTAAATGTAGTAAAGGAATGAGGAAGTGACGAGTTTTGAGTATTATCTTTTTAAACTATGGTTTATTTGATTGTAGATGTATACAACTTATTTTTTAATAATGGCTGAAAAATCTCTGAAAATTTAACAGTTAGCCCTTGCACACCTGTAGTACAAGTCAGCTCCAGCAAGCCACTGGTTGGAAGAAAAGGATAGTCCTAGACATGAATCTCATGACTGGTCTACCATTGGATATAGCAGTGTGATTTTGGTCAAGTGATTTTATTCTTTGAAATCTCTACTTACTCATCTCAAATTAAGGATCCAAACATTTATTTTGTGTGTTATTAGGATCACTAAAGATAATAAATATAACTTATATATATTAGGCCTTCAATTTATAGAAATCATTTTTATTCTTTTCATTACTACTCTTTAAGGACTGGTGATCAAGTCCCATGGGACTTTTCGTCGTCATCGTTGTCGGTATTTTTTAACTATTCCATATGATCTCTTGTGACTTGGAAGAGCCCAGTTGATTTGGAGGCCATCCTTTTTTTAACTGAATTTCCAACAAAGTTTCTAATACTTTAAGAGTCTTTTCAAAATTAACTGTAAATTTCCATGCTGCATGACTAGTTAGTCATTTCCTCCTTTGAATTCCTAAGAGAAGAGTAGATAAGGAGGGATGATGTAATTTCAGGAAGATCCTAGAATGCCATCTTATTAGGTGATGATTGATGTGAAGTAATATACCCACCAATTATTCACATAGGCCTGGGGCATGGAGAAAGGGAGGAGATTCAACTATTCTAAGTCTCTAAACAAAAGCAAGCCTGTTCTCTAAAATAATTATCTTTCCCCTTCTCAGTTCTTTTCATTCTTTCCCACAGATGTGATATCCTTGACATCATCCAGAAATGGTTATATATATTGAGAATTTGAATGTCAGATGAATGGCCTTGAATACTGCTTTTGAGCTTCCTGCTTCATTTAATCTATTTATAAGTTCTATTTTGCAAAGGAAAAATCTATTACCTACTGAAGTCATATTAATAACTACTTATCTGTGTGTTTGCATGACATTATGACTAATAGTTTAAGACTGCTTCATTCCCTTTAGTATTTATGATATTAAAATAAAGCAGATAGCAACCTAGATTACTTAGCAAATAAAAAAGAAATATTTGTTTCTAAAGTCCAAGTTTTTAATTTAATATAAAAAATGGTTATATTTTACCCTTTAAAATTATTTTTGTTGAAATAATTTCGTGAACAAAAAAATTGTGTCCATATCTCTGCTACATATCATTTTTATTTTCAACACACAATTTAAAGTTAATGTGCTTAATGG